GTCAATTTTTACAGTTTTATCTACTAAATATACAAAGTAGATTTATTAAAAACCTTCTTTTGCCTTGATAACTCTATAACCAAAAATTTTATAGATTAAAAAAAGGGAAAAGGGTTTGAAAGATGAGTCGCCATTACGAGACCCAAAGTGTGAACTAGATACGCGCAGATTTTGGTGTCTCCAGGTCTCTGGAATGCAGAGGCAAGTCTATAAACATGTTCCAAAATGTACGTTTATTTATTCAACTTACAAAATTTCCGTGTGTTCTGCGTACAAATACCTGTAACGTAAGCTTTGTCGGCACAATTGTTTTCTTCACAGATTTTGCGACAAGGGAATACAGCCAGTAGTTCTGGATTCCGCAACTGTATGGGGATTCCTCAAAATGTGAGTGAATTCACGAATGTAAGTCGAATCCCTGTACGCAAATATGAGCAGATTCCGCAAATTGTAAATGGATTCCGTCGTTGTAGGTGGACTCCGCTTAAGGCTGAGGATTCTGCCTCAGCGCAGGTTTACTATACACATATTCTTTTATTTGTTTGTGGATTCCACAAACTGTTTCGGATTTTGAAGCAATTTGGAGTAATACATTGTTTTAGCTAATTATTTGTGGAATCCAAAACAGCAACGAAGATCAAAGAAAATAGCACAGTTAGGGGTTCCGCAACAAAACTGATTTTGGCCTAATTGATTTTTTTCTCATTGAAATAATTTACGTCAAAAATAAGGCACCAAACAGTTTTGAGCTAAATTGAATCAAACTGAAACAATTTCAAAGAAGGATTTTTAAAACTTGCTTTTTCTCTATAAAAAAATTGCTTATCAGGTAATTTTTGTTTTTTAAGTTTATATAATAAACATTTTTTGAGGCAGACAAAATAATTTACTCTTTCAATCCAAAATCTAAAGTTTGAATTACAAAAAAAGAGTAAATTTAACGTCTTCTAAAGCTGATATAAATATCTGTACAATCATCGTTTGCGTGATGAAAAACTTTCGGGTGATTGAAATTTTTTAACTGTATAATCATCGTTTGGGTGATGGAAAACTTTTGATGATTGAAAACTTAATTTTCACAATAATTATTCGCTGAAACTTTTATTCACAAAACAAAAGCAAAAGGACAAGTCCAAAAAACTGTATCCCGGCGACCTGCGGTTAGGCTCCTACGCGTTTATCAGCGGTTCTTAAAGATAAACGCGGGCTCTTTTTCCTTCCCCCCCCCCACCTCACACGAGCTTCAATATATTACGAGTGGTTTTACGAGGTTGAGTATGAAGACCAAATATGTTTGTCGTGGCCTTATTAGTCAATGTGTAAATTTTCATAAAATTGGACAATGTGGTCAACAAATTTACATGTAAAATTTTGCAGGTGGGGGGAAGGAAAAAGAGCCTAAACGCGAAGCAACTTCATAAACTGCTGGTGGCTCCGTTTTTGCAAAGTCACAACACGTATAAACAACGGTTACTTTGAATTTGATCAATAATGAATCGAACGAGATGAATTTGAATGCGTTCTTGTACATTATTTATTGTTCCGACTTTCGATACGAAAGTAACGGAATATTTGTGCTCGGGGTGGGTTTTTTTTTCTTCAGACAAATTTCGACTTTTTAACTAGCCATTTTTGACGGATTTTTTTAATATCATTCGAAAGGTATTGTTTTCTTGAGCTCAAATTTGAAAACATATTTCACCTGTGATCATTTTTCGTAAAGTTACGGGGATTTAAAGATTGCCATTTTGGCCAATTTGGGAAACTAACGCGCGATATATTTCGCGTTATTAACGCGTAAGCGGAGAGTTAATCCATCTTAGAAATCGTTCGAAATTGGTTAAAAGAAGCCTATTTGCCATAATTGGTTTGTTACAAGGAGCAAAATCTATCGTTTTGTACTTTATATGGCGTGTGGGGGGATGATTTTATAAAAAAAAAATTCAAACTTTAGAAAAAAATTTTTTCATTTTTTTTGATTTCATTGAATTTTTTTATGTTATTACTGCTTCATAAACCTTAAAAGGCAGTCGGAACATTCAGGGCTTCGCCCTGATACGAGCAGTCTTGTTCAATATATAAAAATGACCGAATACAAATTGGCAGATAAAGCAATTAGTAATAAACATGTAGCGAATTTGTAAGAACCGAGACGCTAACTTGTTATGAAAACCCCTGGGTTAAAAAAATATTACAATTGTTTTTTTTTCTCGCATCTGAAGACTGAACTTAATGAAAAGATTGTAAAATGATGATTTTGAGGTTTGCTCATCCTTTATATCCATTTTGTTTTGTTTTCTAACTTTTTGTTAATTTTACGAAACTTCACGTATAACCCTAATTTGAAATTCTGTCATGTTATTTTGTAATTTTACAGTGATTGGTAAAGTTAATTACAAGAGCAAGATTTTGTAATTGTTTTTATAATTAACAAACACTTTTACAGCTCGTGCAAGAAGGTTTGATCTGCACTTTGACGGCCCATGATACTTTTTTCAGGAACAATAATTTTTCGGAACTATTTGGTTTTATGCGCTCACAGATGTGATAAAAAAAACTTTAAAAGTTAGATTTTCACAAGTCATCCAAAATAAGTAAAGATAAGGCTTCCATTTGAAAGTTTAGTTCTGACTAATTTTCGAAATTACTCGACAAAGCAAAAAATTCCAATCACCAGTGTGGATTTAAGGCTGTATGGGGAGTGAAAAACGCTGTATGGGGAGTGTTTGCTTATCCTGTTTTTTTTTCAGAAATTTAAAAGTTATCCTGGTTTTTTTTAAATATCCACCCCAACGCAGAAAATTTTCTCAACTCAATGGCCGCTTTTTGGAAAAATTAATTAGTTCGACCTAAAAAAAAGTCATCTTATTCGTAAAGAATTTCCGAATTGATTCAAAATAAATTTCTAGTGTTGCAATCAATTTAGATTTATATAAATTTTCTTCTGTACATTGGCTTATGATTTTCTGGTGAAATAATTTTTTGAATCAACAAACAAATTGTTCTAGAATGAGGACTGAATAAAATTATTTTTTTTTACTTACCGGGCGAACCTTTCGTTTCATTCGAAAAGATTTGTAAGAAACATTTATTTCGTGGTAAAACTTCAATTTCAGTTAAGCCAGAAACTAATCAATTAGGTTAAATTTTAAGGTTTTCTTTTGGTAGAAACAATGACGGATCTAGGATTTTCTCCAGGGATCGGGGGGGGGGGGGGGGGGGGGGTTGAACTATTAAAGAATTATCGAAAATTTTATCAATTTTTTTTAGGTCAACCAAATTGATTGTCGGAGCTCTCAAAAATTACTAAAAGGTCCTTAATTTGACAAGTCTCCTGCGCGACCGGCAAGATTTTGAAAAAACATGCCAAAAACGACGTTTTTATACATTTTTTGAAAGGTTTTAGCCAAAAATTTGTGTTTTTGGCGCGCGCTCCCTTTTCGAAACTGGTATATATTGGTGCCAAAGGCGCCTTTAGAAAATTTTCATTGGACGGTCAGCTAAAAGCAGATGTCTTATTATAACACCAAGAGGAAGGAAAAAGCGTCCAACACCCCCCCACCCCCCCAGCTTCTACCGGCCTACTGGCTAGAAGTCACAATTTTCAAGTTTAACGACTTTTGTATCGACCCTAACAACCTTGATTGGTCCTGATTGAATCATGTAGCGACCCTGCCTGTTCGACTTATGAATCAACAATGGTCGACCGAACTTTTTGCTCGGTGTATGTATATTGTTTTGTGCCGTGCGACCCTTAAACCCTTTATGCGACGCATATTTGGACAACCTCAATAAGGGATTTCTTTTTTCGAGACATGGCTTTTGTAGATAATATTTTTCCCTTTTAAAATAAATTCAGCATTTCTCTGAATGGATTCCAATTTAAAATAAAAATCAAATCAAAAACTATATGCTACCTTTCAAAAACTTCGGTTCGGTCGATTGAATTTTTTAAAATTTGCTCGAGAAATGAATTGATTGTACGCCATGTAAAGCAGGCAATTACTTATGATTACGCAGTAATCAAAGTTCAAAGGATCTGTCAATCAAAGATCGACGAATAGGGTAACAACATCTTTTTTCTTCGAATTTTCGGAAACTCGGTTTTTTTATCAGGCTCAGTTTTTCGTCATCTATCTCGTCTGTTTTTTCTGAATTTTCTAGTTTCATATATTTTTCTGCACCGATTTTAACTCCCGCAAGTCCATAGGCTAGGCCAAAAGCTGCTTTCTTTATACTTTCTTTTTCTCCGATTCCTGCTTTGACTTTTTTCGTTGGTTCTTTGATTGTATCAACTCTGTATCGGCACCAAGCAGCCCAACTTGCGCTGTTTTTCGCAGTTAAACTGTAATTCCAAACCCTTTTGCCGCTCAAATTATCCAAGGTGAACTTTTTGATGTCTCGTTTCGGCTAAAAAAAACTGGTTTCATTTATACATACAAAAAATGAACAGACCAGATTTAAGTCTTCCTTCGAGGAAAATTCGTCATTCCTGTTAACAAATTCTTGAACCTTTCTTTATTGTCAAAAAAGCTTTCAATTTAAAAATAAACTTAGACCATTAACCGCGCTAAAAGTGGTGCATTTATTTAAAAATATAAGTACCACTACTTTTCGAACAAAGTTGCCAAAGCGAAAAGTTCTTGTCACTAAGACCGATTGGAGGGAGGGGGTTGGTGGGGACTTTAGACTTTGGCTATTGCGGACGCCAAAATTTTTTCTGCCCTATTTTTTCAAAAATTCGGCTGCGGCGCAGTAATTTTTGGCAAAATCAATGGACAGTTTTAGGGAAAAATTATTGCCCAAATTTTTGAGATCCAACCAGCCTGCCATGCATTCTCTTGTTGATTTCAATTGGGCAGTTTTAGATAAACTATTTTTTTAAAATTCGTTAATTGAAAAGAGTTTTGCCAAAAACTGGGAAGTTAGCAAATAATTTTTCAACTCGACTTCATGCATCACACTTTTTTTGTATTTAAATTTATTGCGCAAAACAGGTAGCACTAAATCCTTCTCAACATCAACATGTAATATTTTCCGCTTGCGGATAATATTTATTTCAAACATACATACTGAGTGTTTGTAATCGAGGTAGTTGTCGACTGTGTACCTAAACTGCAGAAGTCTCGGGGGACCTAGCATGATTTTTTCCATCTTCAGAATAAATCTTGGTTCTGGCCAGCTATGATAGTTGGGCACTTTGAAAATCAGCTATAGAAAGACAACTCTACTTAAAATAATCATAATTATAAAGTTTCCGAGATAAATCCACGCTCATCTATTAAATTTTATAGAAAGTTATCTTAAAAGAACCCAGTTTGTGGGATCGTCCTTCGACAAATTAAGTCTGCGTTCAGCAATGAAGGCGATTAGGAATTCATATAACAATGATTTGCTGCTCTTGGTTTTCCTTGACCTGATTCAAAAATCATTGTGGGTCGAATCAACGGGAACAAATAGCAACAATTACCTTTTTTCAAAAATAAAATCGTAATCTCTCATCATCATAAATTCATAAAAGTTTTAAAAAAAGATTATATGAACCCAACTACCATACTTGTAGCTAGAATAATCAGAGGTGACATCGAAATATACCACTTGACCATCGCCAATGTAGATGCCATAGTGATTGTAGATTACAACAGGCGAAGTGAGTGATTTGATGCCTTGGTTGAACTTGATCATGTCTCCGATTGAGAACGGGTCTTCTTGTTGCTTTTGTATAGAAAAATAACTTTTCCCGTTCTAAAAATAATTAATCAATTTTGTCTCCTCCTGCTAAAAAAAATCATAGGTCTACGTGGACCGCAGTGTATTACAAATGATGAGGAAAGTAACGCGGGATCTTAAATACTATATACTTAGCTTCTTGCTTTAAATTTTCTGTTCTTTTTTGGGAAACCTAATGGAAGCAAATATTGGGGGAAAAGAGGGCGTGCTTTTTCCTAATATAAGATCACTCAGATTACATCATGACCAGCTATGTGTTTTGGTTGATTCACTCAAAGAAAAACCATTAGTTATAGCCTAATGCGAGACATGGCTAACTGAAAATGATTTTTTTGGATTTTTTTCAGTTGGATGGGTATCAAAAAGGGGTTTTTAAAAATAGGGAAAAAAAGGGGTGGCGGTGTAGCTTTTTTCGTCAAAACGGGAGCTGAATTTATTCTTCAGGATTTAAATTCTGATATGGAGGATCTTACCATAACTATTTGGAACAAACTAACTTATTTTAACATATGCACGGTCTATAGATCACCTAATCAAACATATTCAACATTTCTAGAAAATCTGGATTATCTATTAAATGAACTTCGACAATTAAAAGGAAATCCAGTTATTGTGGGGGATTTTAATTTGATATTCTTGCCAAGGTTGAAAAACCAGGAGTGTTAAGTTATAAAACGCTTTTAAAGTCTTTTGATTTGGATTTTTAAAAGAGAGAACCAACCAGAGTTACTGAAAATAGTGCAACATGCATTGACCACTTCATAACAGAAGATTTTTATCCGGTGACAGTTATCAAAACCACAATTAGTGATCACTATGCATTGTTGGGTGAATTGCCGCTTTCGGTTGAAATGCTTGGCAAAACTGTTATTTATACCTGAAATTTTAAAAAAATTGAAGCCTGATGACAACCTACTTAAGTTATTATTTCTTCTAATTGTCGAATTGGAAAAGTCGAGTGATAAGGAATCAGTAAAAATCCACGGTTTAACGTATTCAATGATTAATGTTTTTGATAAATTTGGTCCTTTGAAACCAATTGATTTTACAAAACAATTGAAAAAATCTTGGATTTCCAACAATGTGAAACAAATATACAAAAAACGGGACGCTGCTCACAAACAAATGGTAACACTTCCGAACGATGAAACAAAAGCGAAATTCAAAAAATTGAGGAATGAGGCGAAAAAGCTGATAATGACGGAGAAAAGAAAATTTTATGACAATCAACTTGGAAGTTGTACTGATTCCAAAAAAATGTTTCAAGTTTTTAATAAATTTTTTGGGAAAAAGAAATCCAATTCGTGCAAATTAGAGGTGAATGACATGAATAAATTTTTTGCTACCATTGGACCCACACTTTCAAAAAACTTCGTGGAGTTTAAATACAACAATAAAATTTCACGAAACTCTGATACTTTTGTTTTCTTTCCCACTGATGTTGATGAAATGGCGAAGGTTATTAAGAACCTGATGAACAAAAACTCGACTGGTCATGATGGTTTGAGTAGTGTAATGATTAAACTTTGTGCACCAGTCATTATGACGCTCTTAGTTGTTTGTTTTAATGAAATGTTCGACTCGGAGTCTTTTCCTGACGATTGTAAAATAGCGAAAGTGATTGTCCTGTTCAAAAGTGGAGGTGAAATTGATTTTGGTAATTACCGACCCATCAGCCTTCTATCAACTATAAGCAAAATTTTTGAAAAACTAATTTTATAGAAGAATGGTCAATTTTTTACAGAAGTATAAAGGTCTTTGCCCTGAACAGTTTGGCTTCAGACAAAAACATTCATGTGTACAGGCAATCTCACGTATAGTCGAATATATGCGCTCAGTTTTGGAACAAAGAGATAGTGGAATGGCATATTTTTTAGATTTTAAGAAAGCATTCGACACTGTTGATCACGCAATCTTAATCATTGAATTAGAAAAATATGGGCTCCGTGGTGAAGTTTTAAATTTGATGAAAATTATTTAATTAACAGAGTACAATTTGTAAGTGATTGTATCATCAATTCTTCATTTGAAAAAATTCCTTGTGGAGTTCCCCAGGGTTCGTTTTTAGGTCCTTTATTGTTCTTGGTTTAGATCAATGATATTTCAAATGTAACAAAGACATTCGAGATGAGCCTTTTTGCCGATGACACTGCTATTGTTGGTTCTGGTAAAACGAGAGCGTTTTTGAAAGAATTCAGAACAGATACTCAGCGCCTAAATGACTGGTGTAATGCCAACAAGTTATCGATTAATACAGACAAGAGTAAACTCATGGGTTTTGGTAAAGCTATGCCTGTTGCCTCAATTTCCAGTACTGGTAAAAACATGGAAAATAAAGACAGTTTCAAATATTTGGGTATTGAAATTGACAAAAAAATGAATTTTAATATGCAGACTGTAAAGTCTGCACGAAAATTTCCAAATTTGATGGTGTTTTATATCGAGGAAGATCTTGTTTCTCTAAACAGGCATTAATTAAGTTTTACATAGCATACGTGATTCCACTAATTTCTTAGGGCTTATTACCTTATGGATGTACATCGAAATCAAACCTTGATAAAATTTTCTTGGCACAGAAAAAAATCAAAAGAATCATTTTCTTACTTCGAAAGTATGATCATGTGTCGGAGTATTTTTCAAAATTCCAACTTCAGAGTGTACATGAAATTTTTATCAGCCAATTGTTTTCCCAGACAAATTTTCAGTTCCTTGGAAAATTGCCTTTAAAATTTTTGAATCTTGATTATGTAAAAACGAGTCGTAGCACCCGGTCGAATAGTTTAGGTTGTATACCTTTACCTTTGAGAAAATCAAAGTTAGTACAAAATTCGGTTTCGTACAAAATTGTGAAATGCTATAATTTCCTAATGTCAAATAACCTATTGCCTCTTAACCTTAACGAGTTTACTGATAAACAGAAGAAATATTAAAGTGTACTTATGTGATATTAAAGTGTACTTAAATGACAATCGATTACTTTTTGACATGTTTATAGGGTAAATTTCGTGTACCCTCATAATTTAACGCGGTTTTGCTTTCACTCATTTATCTAGGTTTCCCTTAGGTTACTGCTAGCTGGACTGTACAGCCCGTACAGTAACCTTGATGCAGTATTTAAGTACACATATGTGATCTTTATACTGTCTCTAAATTCAAATTCAAATTCAATTTAAAAATCACGCAACTATTTTTTGATGGTTTTCGCAATTGCCTTTACACCACTTCGCTCATGAGGATTTTTGAAATTTTGGCAACTAGTGTTGACAACCAATTTTCATAAAATTTTGCCGGCCAATTTGGTCCGAAATTTTAATACTTACAAAAATGTGTGCAAAGTTACCTGGCTCATCGTGTTCTCTTTTCAAATTTGTTCGATCATCCGTTTTCAAAGGCACTGATAATGATACGTTTTCAGAATTTGACAGTGTCAAATAATAATCGACAGTAAATAAACACTTCCGTTAAATATTTATCTTCAACAAATGAATCAATCTTGAGATCAAAACATCTCAAAAGATGAAATATAACCAATTTTAGTCATATAAAACTGGTATGGACGCGTTTGGAAAACATCAATGATGTCAATTATGTTGAACCATACTCATAACACAAAATATGACGTCATTTTTATGCCTTTTCTCCAAAAATACATAAAGATAAAACAAAAATTCGCTTGGCATCATCAGCTTATGACAGCATCAAATTGAGCAGAATAAAATAAACCCGGAACAAAAAGTGGAAAAAGTTTTTCTTCGGATTTATCCTGGACTGGTTCATTTTGATCCCGGCATAGTTTTACATTCTGCTCAGTTCAGTCGTGTTTTCGAGCGTAGCGTATAAAAGCGCAAACTCTACTCACATTTATTCGCACACTTTTCACTGAAATGAGCGCCATCAGTGTGCAAGAGTAAAGTGGCTACCCGGGTTGGCGTCGCAGAGACAACCATCCCTGTTTCAGTTCCCGATCAGAGGCCTCTTATCCATGATCAAGACTGAAATAGATATAAACTTTCAGAGCTAAACCCCAGCTCTGAATTACCGCTGAATCATCTCTAAAACTGCAATGATTTTCAGTTCAGCGCTGATTTATCTCTGAATCACAGCTGGCTTACGGAATAGCCATTGTCACCATGATTTATCAATAACTCAGTGCTTCAATTCACATTAGAAAAAAAAACAATTCTGTTTCAGGCCCTGATCAGCAGCACTGGTTCATGATATAGTTCTGATTCAGGGATGACTATCCGTGCGACATCAACCCGGGTAACGGAACAAAACTGCATTTGTGCAAAAGCTAGAAAATTAAAAAAAAAACTAGGGCTAGTATCGGACAGTGAGGCGAAGAATTGAACATTTCCCACTCCAATAAACTGTAAGCATCTCAGGAATAAAATGAACCCTCAATCCTTTTTCTTCCGATTTTCGAGAAAAAAAGAAACAATTTTGCTCGGTGTGTATTGCTGGGTATATCTCATAATGGCTCCCAGCTAAAAAATAGTCCATTCATAAGAGTGAAATTACCGTGTGGGGTTCTAGCTTCCTCGCCCATTGGGGGCTATAAGTGAATTTTTTTTGGATTTGTTAACTAGCGACCTTTACTGTTCTGAATGGGCAATTTGTTGCTGAGAGATAGTATGAGAATGTCATACCGCTACTGCAGTAGCAGTATTTATATACGTATGTACAGCTAACCTTTGGTGCTTAATCATTACTGTATGGTATGCTCAAGGTCATACGTGAGTGATGACACTGAGATTAAGCGAGAGATCAGAGTTCGTAACATTGCTCTAACTCTCAGTACAACAACAAAACAAAAGAATAAGAAAACCTAAATTCAATAGTAAAAATAAAGTATTGAATTACAACTTGTTTTCAACTGATATCGCAACGCAAATCACATGGCGCAGCCAGCAGGATCCGCAGCTCAAGACAACAGAACGGACATGGGAATTCCGGTATTTTGGGCGTCAGCGAATCTAGACCCTCCGTGGCAATTCAAAATCTGGTTCGAACAATTTCTCATGGCGGTTACGGTTAAAGAAAATGTGAACCCAGAGATTATTTTGGAAGAACCAAAAGACATATTAGAGGAACCACCACCACGCCCTGAAACACCCAGAGACGGGGAGAATGAAGTTGTGAGGAACGCTAGGATTCTTAGAGATAAGCTAGCAATGGATAGAGTAGTATTGGAGAACGAAGAGAGAAGGACAAGAGGACCACGAGTCGGACACAATGTATTCTACAACGAAGTACAAAAGAAATTGGTGTCCAGATTATATTTGTCTTTGGGTACAGAGGGAAAGAAAAGATTCCTGCAAAAGAACCCGCATGCTGAAATATCGAAAATGACGTTCAAGGAAATAACAGATTTGGCAGAAGTCTCGTTTCAAAATGTAAAATGTGTAACATACGAAAGATACAAGTTATTTACGAGAATGCAAGAATCGGGAGAATCTCTGGAATCATTTCACGCAGCGCTAACTGCACAAGCAGCCCGATCAGAACTGGGAGCATTGGAAAATGAAATAGTCCGAGACCTGTTCATTTCAAAAATGAAAAACATGACCTTGCAGGACACGTTGACATTCGAGACTCTAGATCCGGAGGAGGTTCTGAAAAGGGCTATAAAATTCGAACATAGCAAGTTAACCACAATGGCGTTTCAAAAGACTAATGCTGCGGCTACAGGGGGATCAAGTAACAATTACATCTCGGGTGTGAGAATAAAACAAGAACCTGTAATGGCAGTTAGAAATTTGGCGGGGACAAACAAAACTCCAAATAGAAGGGAATCGAATAAAAGACAAAACAATAACAAGAATCAAAACACGAAAACAAAACCATGTAATAGATGTGGAAGGACGTTTGAACAGGGACACCTGAAAAATTGTCCAGCGATGGGGAAAACCTGTAAACACTGTGGCAAACCCAATCATTTCGCTAAAATGTGCAGATCCCAACAAGTAAGTGAAGTTGCAGAAGACTCGGAAGGATCGGTAGAGGAATGCGATCAGATAAGTGAAGGTGTCGGGTCATGTAGCGAATTTGAAGTTATGTCGATACAAACCTATCAACCGGAAAACGAGAGAGTTTCAAAATATGTGAAAGACCGAATCAACGAAACGAGGGACAAACCAAACGGAAAAATGTTGCGAGTTCAGAAAATAGATTTGATCCGCGATCCAACATTGAATCGTGTAAAATCACTAAAGGCCATGGTACGAATAGATAACCAGATAATTCAATTAACAGTGGACACTGGAAGTCCAGTTTCATTTCTCAACTGGGCGACAACAAAGGAAATTATGGATAAATCAAACAAAGTAAGATTCATACCGTCCGATAAACTGAATTTACAAACCAAATTCGTGGACTACAACAAACAACCGATCAGTATACTGGGAGCCCTAAAAACCAATCTGAGGTCAACGGGCTGGGAAGTAAAGGGCGTCACCTTTCTGGTATCAGAACGAAAAACTAGATGTATCTTGGGACTAGATCTGCAAGGACAAGTGGGAATAGTGACTACACAAAAACCAGCGCCCAAGGAACTCACCAGGTTTGACGTGCTCATGTGCGAGCAGTCAGAAGGTTGGAAAGAAAAATTTTTCACTCAATTTAAAAACCTATTTGAAAGACAAGGCATTTCGAAAAATCACATTGTCAGTTCAAAATTTAAATATCCATTATGTCCGATCCAAGAAAAGGGGAGAAGAATCCCAGTTCACATACAAGATAAAGTCGAAAAAGAAATCGAGAAGTTGTTGACAGAAGGTCATATATCAAAACTTGATAAAGGTACAAGTGATTGCTTTATCGCTCCGATTGTGATAACAGTAAAGAAGGACGACTCAATAAAATTGGCAATGGATGCAAAACCAATCAATAGACAATTGTTCAAAAACAAATACCAAATGCCAAATGTAGATGAACTCATTGATGGGGTAAGCCAGATTGTAACTGAAAACAAAAGGGGTACGCTATATTTTTCGGTGTTAGATTTGAAATATGCGTACAGTCAATTAAAATTGGCTGCAGATACAGCTAGACAATGCAACTTCAACATTGTTGGTGGAAAAGCAACTGGAACCTACAGATTCTTGACAGGGCTCTATGGTTTAGCAGATATGCCAGCTGAATTTCAAAAGGCTACGGACAGAACCATCAACCAGGCTAAAAACACGTTCTGTTTTCTGGATGACATACTTATTGTGTCAAAGGGAAGTGAAATTGAACATGCAAATTTGGTAGAAGCAGTATTAAAAAAATTGGATGCGGAAAATTTGGCGTTGAAACTATCAAAATGCGAACTTTTCAAACAAGAAGTGAATTGGTTGGGTCATCATCTCTCAGAGACAGGAGGTACAATTAGACTGCGCGGGGCCTATAGAAAATCAAAAAGGAAAAAAATCTACCTTTTAGTAGTTATAGATCGATTCCCAAAATTCCCATCAGTGAAGGTTACGAAATCCACAAGTGGAAAGTGCACAGTAAAATTCTTGAGATCATATATCGACACACATGGAGTCCCTGAATCAATTCGTTCGGACCAATTTTCACGCTTTAAGGGGAAAACGCTAAAAAAAATCTGTTCGGAACTCAATATCGAGCAAAAATTTTGCCCGGTGGGGGACCACAGAGGTTGTGGTTTGGTCGAACGTACAATCCAAACTATAAAAAGAAGACTGGGAGTGATGATGCTTGAAGAAAAAAATCAATCAATCAAATTATGTCTTAGCACTATAATGAGAGATTTACGGTGGAACAAGCAGAAAACAATTCAAGTATCCCCGTTTCAAGCACATTTCGGCAGACTACCAAAAACAGAATTTAAAATTGTGAGGGATAGGTTTTTAAATAATTCTGATTATTTAGACAAACAACACTTGGAACGCTCAGCACTGACGGCCTCCCAACTGAAACGGAGAATTGACCAGTCGAGAGAGAATCTCAAAATAGTGCGCAAGGGACAACTTAGCAGGGATACAAGCCCACTGCCTAAGCAGCAGTTAACATCGGACAGAGACAAAGAAAGGGCCAAAGCTCTAAAGGAATTGTTGGAGGCGAACGCCCGTTGGAACAACGAAAGAAGGGACGCGGCTAAAAACGATATCAGGAAATTAGTGGACGAGACAGGGCTACTCAATCCCGACCTTCGAAAGGAAATGATCTACTCTTGGGAGAAAGGATTTGTGGAGGACAAAGTAGAAAATCAATGTAAATCACCACCCAAGACAATACTCCGAAAGGACCCACTAAGGAAAAGCGGACAAGCCTTAACCAGACCACTAAAAGGGAAAATCGCTTCAGAAACGGACTCAACAATTAAGACATCGGCCGGTTCGATTTATAGGAAATCGGATATAGCACAATCGAAAACGGTACTGACACAAGAAAATCAGAGCACGAGTAAAAGTCCATCGTTGGAACCTACAAAAAAGTTTAAGAGAATCAGTTCTCCAGAATTACTCGAGGAGCTGGGATCAGAAGACGAACTTCAAGGAGAAATGGAAATCGCAGATGCAATGAATCCCACAGAGCGTTTTCTGAAAAGCCAAACAATAGTTACTTCTAAGGACACAGAAGCCGGGGGAGGTCTGAATCTGGCTGTCAAAAGAGCAAAACCCAACTTGGCGGGCCCAAAATCAACTATAGAGGAAAATAACACAAACAAGCCGGAGTAGAGCGGAAAGGAAAAGAAAGGCCGAAACAAGCAGCAACAGGGGACAAGCCAAACTGCGACTGCAGCCAACCTGGAACAGGAGCAATCGACATCTAAGCCGGAAAGAGTAGACACCAAAACTCAGTCCAGTTCTACGCCAAAGGCTAAACAGCGGCCGAAATTGAAATGCATTGACTCTCACACTCCTTTAGAAGACATAGTCGACACATTTCACAATCGCAATTTAGCACCGTCCGAATGGGAGAAGTACGCGGACCAATTGTTAAAAAGAGGAGTACAGCAAGTTGCAGACGAAATTCGAGAAAATCCACAACAAAGTTCGGAAATGGACACAAATTTCGAACCACCACAAGGATTTTCGGACGAATCAAGTACGGAAGAGTCAGGTATTAGACGAAACTCCAGACAAACGAAAAACAAAGAACCTAAACGATTCGGAGATCCGATAAAGCACTCAATTAAAGAAATATCAGAAAATCTCTTAGGGAGAGGTCTTTAAAGGAGGCACTTAAAGAATACAGAAATCAACTGAGAGATTTCAAAGATCGTAACGACAAACCAATGGAATCAAAAGTGCGACGACTCGAAAGACATCTGTTCATGCGAAAATTCGGATACGCTACACTAGACGAGGGAGTCGATTGGAACCCGAGTTGGGAAATAGAGCTGGAAGAAAACTGAAAAGTCCATAATCTATCAATAACTCAGTGCTTCAATTCACATTAGAAAAAAAACAATTCTGTTTCAGGCCCTGATCAGCAGCACTGGTTCATGATATAGTTCTGATTCAGGGATGACTATCCGTGCGACATCAACCCGGGTAACGGAACAAAACTGCATTTGTGCAAAAGCTAGAAAATTAAAAAAAAAAACTAGGGCTAGTATCGGACAGTGAGGCGAAGAATTGAACATTTCCCACTCCAATAAACTGTAAGCATCTCAGGAATAAAATGAACCCTCAATCCTTTTTCTTCCGATTTTCGAGAAAAAAAGAAACAATTTTGCTCGGTGTGTATTGCTGGGTATATCTCATAATGGCTCCCAGCTAAAAAATAGTCCATTCATAAGAGTGAAATTACCGTGTGGGGTTCTAGCTTCCTCGCCCATTGGGGGCTATAAGTGAATTTTTTTTGGATTTGTTAACTAGCGACCTTTACTGTTCTGAATGGGCAATTTGTTGCTGAGAGATAGTATGAGAATGTCATACCGCTACTGCAGTAGCAGTATTTATATACGTATGTACAGCTAACCTTTGGTGCTTAATCATTACTGTATGGTATGCTCAAGGTCATACGTGAGTGATGACACTGAGATTAAGCGAGAGATCAGAGTTCGTAACATTGCTCTAACTCTCAGTACAACAACAAAACAAAAGAATAAGAAAACCTAAATTCAATAGTAAAAATAAAGTATTGAATTACAACTTGTTTTCAACTGATATCGCAACGCATATCACAGAGAAACACCCCAAAAAACACGGAGCAAAGTTTTTCCTTTTTCCTCGAAACTTGGAGAAAAAAAAACGAATCCTGACTAATTTTATCTGTGAGATTTTATTGTTTGGAAACTAACTGACACTTCGCGTTTTCCATTTCAACGTTTCTAGCAACAACAAAACTATTTTAACTATCTTTTTAAGTGATATTTTTGCAAAAAAAACTTGCACTAAAAACCTTACAACATGGAACTTTGCGTAGGGGAGAGAGACAACCATTACCAGGAAATATCGGAGGGCAAAACTGAAGTTCGATTGTATAAAAGATGCAAGTTAACTCCGCAAAATTTTCAAAGCATCAAATTCAGTAAAAAAAAAACAGTTCAACTGCCATGCAGAAAAAATTTAATCAACACATTCAGATAAGTTTAACCAAAACTGAAACAAGTAAGCAGAAGATCATCGACAAAAATAACTAATCATCTGGGTGCCGTATCCAAATTCCATCAGTATTTCAATGTTTGCCAAAATGACAGCGGGAGGGACAATCACGAATTGCGCATCAGTTAAACTGACTCTTGCAGATCCGAACCTTTTTGTTTCCGAAAATGGGAAAAACTTTGTAGTCGTGTGTGTTTTAGTTTGTTTTCTTTTTTATTGTTTTCCACGCAAAATCAGCTACCACAAAAAAAATCATCGGAGAGTGTTGAGTGAAATATCATTTTGAAGCCCTTTCAGTCGTGATTGGAAGACGTTAAACAATTTGAACTTTCCCATTGTTGAGAAAAACCGGCTTGAAATTTTGATTTTTTTTCTAATTCGGAGTGAGCAAGCAGGCTTTCAATAATTTATTTTAATAGCTTAGAATCTTGCAATTGCTCAACTTAAGCGATAAAAACTTAGTTTAATTGATTTAAATTGTTTTTGAATATTTTTTCGCTTTTTGGAAAACATAACGTCAAAAATTCAACAACTGTCAAAAAATACCAAATATAACAAAAACTTAAACTCAAATTTTGCAAAAAAAAATTTCTCGAACATGACCTATGTCAATGTTTTTGAAATTTTTTAAATAAAAATCCACCTCCCTAGATAAAATCCTAGACTCGACCCTGTATATATATATATATATATATATATATATATATATATATATATATATATATATATATATAAAGGGGCGGATACAGGATTTTTTCGAAGAGGGGCGGCTTTGAAAATAGAATTCAAAAGTTTTGTGGGCATTTTTTGCCTTAGATCGAACAAAATAATTTTTTGAACACTCCTAAAGCCTTAAAAAGACCCTAGCACTAATATATTTTTGGGAAATTGGTATTTTGAAAAAATCAAATGGGATTCATATACGGTGACTAGCTTTTTGTCTAATTGAAGCTTCCTGCAAACGAGATACTGAGATGCTCTAGTTTGCAACAAAGTTAGTTCAAAAACCGATTTTCTTCTTTACAAAATTGTGTTTCGCAAAATATTTTCTTGTTAGCAAAAGTTCTCTCTGACAGTTGATTCTAGCTTCATTTAGCAACAAAATCAGTTTTAAAAAGCGCAGGAAAATTTTTCAGAGCAGTAGGCGACCGGTTTTACATGAGCGGGTTTTCTACTAATTCAAAATTTCAAAAAAGTGTGAGGTTTGCTACCCTTTACTTTGTGTTTTTTTCTGCTTAAAAATCACACTTGCTTTTCGACGATATAAAAACATCAGACTTAACTCAATTTTTGATTTGAATGAAAAAATCCAAATTATTTTTGATAAATTTTGTACAAACTTTCTTCTGTTGGAGTAAGTTACTGATAAGCATTTGTATGCAAATTGTTTCTGTTCTAGTAAAATGTTTCTATCAGCAGAGGGTTGTTAGTGCAATGAAAAAATTTTTTACAAGTCAATTTTTAAACTTTTACTCGCAAAGGTAGTTTTCAAAATTACTTCTTGCAAGTTCTCTAAAGTGTTATAGATCTAACTAATGAGTTTTATATAGTCAATATTTCAAAATATTAAAAAATGATTTGACAGGTTTTCTAAATTCTTCAAGTCGGAGCTTTTTTTCGATAGATTTTGTGCATGAAATTATGGTTGTATATTTGGTCAATGGAAGTCAGCCCGTTCAAACAATTGGCGTTACGACTCAGGTTGAGCTAAAGTATAAGGAATGCTCCAATATTTAAAAGCTAGTTATTGTTCCGACTTTCGTAACGAAAGTAACGGAATATTTGTGCTCGTGGTGGGTTTTTTCTTCCGACAAATTTCGACTTTTTAACTAGCCATTTTTGGCGGAATTTTTTTTAGCATTCAAAATGTATTGTTGTCCTGAGCTTAAATTTGAAAAGATATTCCACCTGTAATCGTTTTTTGTAAAGTTATGGGTTTAAGGGGTTTAAAGATTACCATTTTGGTCAGTTAATTTGGTACAATTAACGCGCAATACATTTCGCGCAATTAACGCGTAAGAGGAAATTTAATCCGGCTTTGAAATTGTTCCATGTTTTTTGAAGGAAGCTTATATGCCATAAATGATTTGAGATCTACTTAACAATCCCCCCTTATGGTACCTACTTAAGAATCTCCACCCCTATAAATAAATACTGTAAATTAGCACTGAGCTTTCTATTGTGAATTCTAATTTTGCTGCATTCTGATTGGTCGAAAAATTGTCCCCTTTGATATACTTAACAATCTCCCCATTTTCTTGAAAGGGGTAGAAATTGTTAAGCAGATCCTTGATTTGTTACTAGGAGCAAAATTTATCACTTTATACGAACTTTATATGGCGTCTGAGGGGATGAATTTCACAAAAAATCTCAATTTTTTAAAAATTTTTCGTTATATTTTTGTTACTAATGTTTTCATGCTATTACTGCTCCATAGATCTTAAAAGGTTGTCGGATCATTCAGGTTTTGCCCTGATACGAACAGTCTTGTATTCTATTTTAAATTCTACTTTAACAAAAAAAAGCAGTTGCTAAATTATCAAGCAATTGTAAATATCAAGCAAAGAAATTGAAGCGCGCGAAGGTTTTGCTGATAAATCTTTTCTCACTTAACCTTGTAATTGATTCGTTTGGCAAACAGCACTCCTTTTGGTCAAACCGAATCCAGGTTTCTGCGTGTTTATTTACAACATATATATGGGAAGACGAGAGGAATAGATACTTCACTTGAAGGTTATGAAAATAATGCATTACACCAATGGAGTGAAAGAGACTATTTTAATGAACGGTGAAATACTACGTTTATATTTATATAAAGCACAATTTGAAATTAACAAAACTGTTATTTAAATTCTATGAAATATCGAAACTTCACAGACGCGTATTATGCTGGAATTTCAAGTCATAATTAGGAAACATTTATTCAAAATTTACCTGCGTTAAAAAGCAGATACAAATTTGACGAATCGTGTGATGTTGAGAAAAACCAAATATGAACGCCTAACAAAACTTGAAGATTACTTCTATGCTCTTTGGAGTTATTAAAATTGGGAAAAAATTGGTTGCAGGTCATTGTCATCATATGCTTTATCAGCGAAATGTTTGGATAACACAAAGAACAAAACATTCCATGTTAAGAAGGCCAAAGGAAACATTATTCTACTGATTCTGTCGGGGGTATCTACAGTAGATTTCAAGATCGAGTTGTTTTTGAGAGCTTCTACTTCAATATTTCTTGAAGTTGTAGGATTCGAAACGGGTTCGAAAGCGTTCGTTTCATTATTGTTGTCATAAACGTCGTCAACAGATGACTCCTAAAACAAAATTTTACTCCCAGAAGAAGTCTGCTTCCAATGGCTTGATTATGAGAAAAGGGAGTACCCTCCAATTGAAAACTAAGAAGTAGGACGCTCAAAAAGACAATACCATGTTGAAAGAAAAATAAAATAAAACATTGCTGGGAAAAAAAACTATAATCTGTTTTTTCTAAGAATACCGGTCTTAACTAATTAAATGCTTTCCTTGCTTATTTGCTGTAAAAATTGTTTGTAATCATTGTGATTTTTTAAAAAACATATCTCTGCATACAATTTACTGATTCGACTATTTGAAAAAATGGAGGAATTTTGTTTTCGGCGATAAAACAAATTGAAGCTGTTTCAGTTATGATTTGAGAAATCGAGAAAACTTGCAGATTTTTCTGGTATCGAGAAATTTTGGTTGGTAGTTTTTGTTTTTAATTTAATTTCCAGCTATTAAAAAAACGAACAATAAGGCTTACAACAGTCAATTTAAGCCTTTAAGCCCCACAAAAAGCTTCAACAAAATTCAAAACTAATTGTGTGCGAAAAGATTGAACAAAGAAATTTCGAATTTTCTTTAGTCAATTTTCAACAAAAACGGCTGTCAAAATTGCCTAAATTCATAATTTGAGTCAGATGCGTTTATCACACCACGCACAAAACTGCTAACATGAAAAACAAATGTTTGTAGTTTTTTAATGACTATATTCGGAACATTCGGTGCTACTTGCACAGTAATCGACTATCCTTGTTGTTTTTTCGATTTTCTACGTTCCCATTTGTAATATCATGGTAATTTTTTAGCAAATAATCTTTTTAACAGTTTTTTTGGCTTGCTTCACAAGAGTAAGTTTTCCAAAATTATACTAATTTTCGTTTTAATTGAAGCATTTGAGATTAATTTTCACATTTTTTGGTTTATTTCCTGTTGCCTTTTTGTCTTCTCTTCCGACCAGTTGAAGCTGAGTCTTCTTTGCTTCCATTTTCTTTATTGCACAAGAGGCCATCAGAGTCTCAACCAGAGAGGCCACATTCATCATGAAGTTGACAATCAGATAAGCGTCAATAATCTACAAAAAAGTTTCTTTTTTATTTCTAAGTCAGACCGCAAAATTAGTTAAAAAAACAAGAAACACATTTTCCCACACCTGATTGGCTGGAAAAACATACATCTGTTGAATTTTTTCTTTTCCATTAACGATTAAATTTTTTGAGAAAATTTTGTGTCTCGCATAATTTCGAGCAGAATAACAAAAACATAGAGCAATTCCTAAAATGTTTTTTACTTCTTGTGAAAGCCATTGATTAGCCATTGTAGTTTTGATTAGCATTGAAAATTTTTGGACTAAGCTAATTTATATTAAATAAGGCTTATACCAATAGTTTTAACATTGTCATTTAATGGATTTTTTGGCACATTTTATTATCTTCAGCATAAAATTGAAAAAAGCCCCTTCATAACTTAATAAATAGTCGTGAACGAAAAAATAGCTCCTCGAAACGTACCTTGAAATCCGCCGATTGCGGGAAGCTCTGTTCCTCACCTATGATTAGGATGGTCTGGGCGAGAATGAGAGCTATGCATATGCTTGCTCTCTCTGGAAGAGCTGCAGGGTCAACCCACAGCACCACCCAGCTGAAAAAAAATTATATTTTCGGACTGCTCGTACCAGATAAAACAAAAATTTAAAAAGTTCTTATTAGTTTTAAATTGATCAATTGTTTAGTAGATTTTGTTAAAATATATTTGGAAAAATTCAATTTGTTTACCGGTCGTATTAGCAAAATATGCTAAGTGTTTGAAAAAAATTCTCAAGTCAAAGCAGAGGACTGTTACTGATTTTAACACTCTCTATTGTTTTTCCTGTTTTTTTTTAGATAAAACGGAAAAATGGAAAAAGGCGAATGGTAAAAATGAAGAATAAGAAAAAAGTATCTTATGCAATGTACAATTAAAACCAAGGTTTTGTAATTTCAAAGGTCATTTTCCTCTTTTCTTTAGCGTTGAAAACTGCGCTGATTATGCATAAGTTATATTCATATGAATGGATATAAGCGACCATGTATTGTATGACCAGTTTACCTGGTCAAGCTGACAACTAATAAAACCAGGCCTCATTAGAAGTTATTTAAAAATAGAACAATTTTCAAAAACTGATTACCTTACAGATTAAATATTTGAAATCCAAATTGTTCTTTTTTCACTGATTTCATCTATGTTACGAAAAAGTTTTCTGCAGATCAGTGAATGTTTTAAGCAAATCGACATTTTGCTAACTAATTACCTATAAAAGAAAAACTGTTTTGACTTGCCTAAGAGTTGTGAGAACTGTGTTTGGTACAAACAGAGTAAGCGTATAAAACATTGGGTTGCGCTTCATCCGCAAAAAGAGTGCGTGCTGCATGTACAGTGTGTACTCGACGACTCCCGCGACGCTTATTTCGTGATCTCTGGACACATCCAGGTCGTCGAATTGTAAGTTGCCAATAACTTGATCGGGCTTCATCGAAAATTGTTGCTCCAATTTGTTGAACATTATGCTTAAGTCAATGTCAATCTTGTAGGCAGAAATTACAATCTGAAATACGAAAAACGAATGTTTTTTTTAAGGTTTCTCCATTTTGTTTGGCCTCGAAATTTCTTAAGCTGGAACTATGTAAAAAATATATCACTTGTAGAAGTCAAAATTTGTTTAACTTTGCGCAATGACGGTTGTTACAAGAATTTGGCCACTCAGTTCCTAGGTGCAAATTTTTTAGAGATGTATTACTAAGTGCGTCATCTCTTAAAAAAAGCCACCAATTTTGGATATTTAAAATCAGATACGGCACTTATACATTAAAGCCAGTAGAAGCAGAGCGCTCTAGTTGATATGGATTAATTTACTAAGTGTGTTCACTTTTTGCATCATAAATCTCAGTTTTTTAATTGGAAAATAAAGATATTTTTCTTCCAGTTAATTTTTAACCAAATTAATAATCTTAACCCTTTTTTTTGTTCTTTGCTTTGAAAACAGTTGATGAGAAGTTATGTACTTACTTGGCATTTGTGCCGATCAAACGGGAAATACAGTAGATTCATTTCACATGAGAAAGTGTATCGTCCAAATTTTTCCACTCTAATTTCTCCATTCTGACCCAAAAACACCTTACTTCCCGCTTCCGATTCTTCAACTGAGACTAGTGGGTCAAAATCGATGTCTGGATGCCAGATATCATCCAAGATTTCAATTTTAAGCTCTAATTCATCTGTCCATCTCCAGCTATCTTGGCTGATGGATAGGTAATTGGGCAAGCGGGGATCAATCCAGCTGGCCTAAAACATGGTGATTTTACAAGAGAGCAATACGTAATAGAGAAACCTTTAAACCCGGGTTGACCTCCATAGACCAAAAAAGCTAATCTTACAATTGCATAAATTTAGTCTATGAAAAAAAACTAGTCATCGAGTTTTTAAATTATTTTTAATTTGTTCTGCATTTGGCATAAAAATCAGTGTATCGCACTAAATAACGAAGAAAAAAATTTTGTCAAAAAAAAGCTAATCATATAATTTCCATATATGAAAATTGTAGGACTAGCATTTTTTGACGGCGAGAAAAAAAATTTTCTAAGAGATTTTGAAATTGGCCTAAAATTTTTTTGGTTTTTTTTTCAACCGCAAATTGAATTTTGTACTAAAAAAAAACATTTACCAAAAAAATCATAGATAACGTAGTCCTGGACACACAAAAATGGGAAATTTTTCCATTTCTCTGGAATATTTTTTTACGAAAACGCTAAAAATCTAATCCTTTTTGTATGGCATGCTATTTATGCCTTGGTCAATGTCTGATAACTTAAAAATTCAAACTTTGAAATTAAACATCTTTGCAAATTTTTGCCGAACTTTGAAAGTTTAATGCTTTCAGTATATCATTTGTGTAAGAAAACTTTGAGACAATTCAGGTCGTTCCCAATTCATGATAAGTTTAAGACGATCAAACCTTTGGCGACTCTAGTGTTTTGTAAACTATAGTTTTTGTCACTTTTGTTTAATTACGAACACATTCCAAAAACTTTGAGAAAAAAAATTTTTTTTTTAAAAAAGTTTTTTTTTGGTTTATGGAAAAATACTGTCATTAAATTTCCATATATGAAAAAACACTAACCATAGACCTTTCATGCAATTTTTTGTACATGTGAAATTGCATGAAAATTGTATGATGAGCACTTTTGATCAACCCGGGAATCCATAAGAGCGGACGTAGAAAGAAACTTCAAGATTGAACCCACCGTTAGAGTTGGCAATGTACTGGTACCACCTAAAACCGGTACCGTACGTACTGGTACGTACCGTTACGTACTAATTACATGTACTGGTACCACAAAAAGGACTTCGTTTAGGCTAAAAAAACATGTTTCGAAAAAATTTGTTCGGAATCGTCATATGGATAATTTATTTTTATCAAATCATCAAGTAGAACAGAGTTCAAACCCTGACAACTCGAAAAGCAATTTTTCAATTAACGAACTTTTCAATAGCTTTGCAAATAATGAGCGAAAACTAGGTTAAGATTGTCCCCTGTGTTTGCCATGTACTAGTACCTCTCAACTTGGGTACCATACCGTACTAGTACATGTACTAGTACCAAATGTACTAGTACCGGAACCATGCGAACTCTACCCACCGTACACTCTAACAGAGAAAACGGAAATTCCTGTGGCGTTAAAAGGTAAAGTTTTGATATCGGAATATCTCGTTTTCTACGAGAATTTAAAATATAGTGGTAAAAAATCCAGATCATACCGTTGCAATCGCATCAAAAGAGAATATTTTCTCGATCTCGGAAACAGTTCGCATCTGCTCAATGTGGAATCCAAATGTCAGTCTAGGCTTTCCCGGCTGCAGATACTTATTATAAGGGGGCAAATCATCCGGAGACACAGTTGTGAAGTTCCAGTTGGGGGGATATATTGCAACGGCCCTTCTGCCGTGGTTGTTTTCAGCAAAAATCAGAGATAACGACTCATTTTTATCAACAAGCAAATAAGAATAGCTAAAAGCTAAAATTGAATTTAAAATAATCAAACACGAATACATTTTTTTCTGAAGTGGGACGTAACTTTGGAATAAATTGGATAGATCAAAAATAGATCAAAAAGTATGGCAGATGTATAAACTCACAAACATAAGGACAAGAAAGATAATGTAAAATTTTTGCGTTTGCCCTGTTCAAAAATGGGAAAATCTACAAATTGTTTGCTGTATAACTCCCAGGGGTAACTATGAGGTGATTGTCAGACTCAGTTTCAGGTCAAATATGGATATTCATATTTGGTTGAAATATTTTGGCTTACGTAATTTTACAAAATGTTTTAAATCGTTTTTACTTTTTCGGTTTTTTTAAATACACATACTGAATTTGATAGTGGGAATTGAGTAAAACTCGTTTGCTATTGATTTATCGCAATTGATTTCTCAAAACTTTTTGATAGGAAAACGGTCGCCGTAACCGTTTTTCTTCTTTTATCAGGTCAATGTAACATTTTGTAAGATAATCCAGCTCAAAAGTTTGCAGAGTACTTGAAAATTCAGCAAGCGTAGTCTTATCTGCAACTTTAACAACTCTGCAGATTGTTTATTTATTCAAATCTGACTCTGTTGGGTAGGATCTAAACAATTTGGTCCTTAAAAGAAGTTATTTATGCAAATTATTTCTTTAAATCTTCTGAATGAGCTAAAGGCTAAAATTGTTTGTTTTTAGTCTAACCATTTGCGCCAACAGGGTGTACCAAATAATATCCGGCTTGAGGATATCGGAGTATTGGAGCTGAGCTTTGTTTGCCGGAGGTTCTTTTTATTGAAATTCTGCTGTAATATAATTTCTGTCTTCTGTAATCTTTCGATACCGCAAATCATCGAATTAAGAAATGAAAACCGCAACAAGATTGCTCGTGTTCTGAGTTTCAAGTCTACCCTTCAAGGTGCCTGATGTAGTTTTTGGCAGCAATCGAAAAAACATTGGAAACCACTTTTTTTTGATAAAACTCAATGAGCAATTATCAAAAATATTAAGATTGATGCTGGTTCAACAAAAGCATGATACTTCTTTTCTAAAGCAAAAACTTGATTCAAAAAACTATCAACGAGTTCGCGTCTTGCAATTTGTTTTCAAAATGGCTTAACCAAATTCAAGCAAAATATAGTTTTTTTATTTAAAAGTACCAAACAAAAAACTGTTGCAACTTCCGTTTGAGAAAAACCTCAAGCTGTTACAGAATAAGTACCACTTCATGTGGGAATTGTCTCTTGAGTAGATTTTTTGCTTTTTTTCTCGTGTATTATAACTCTAAGATATTTCGTTGAATGTACCAAAAACCTTTCTGAGATTGGTATAGTGCTAAGACTAAAAATAGGGCTGATAAATTTAACTGTTTAACCTAGAAATTTCAATTAATAAACCAACATCCTAATTTAATATGATAATTTATATGATAATTTGATATCCTAACAACATTGTATAAATATATTTTTTTTCAATTGACAGCCGGAAATTTCCGTTTTACCATGAAAAATACCAAATTTTTATTTAAAAACAAATTTTAAACTTTTCGCGCAATTTTTAGGAGATTAAATTGGAAGTTTTGACGCAAATTTTGATTGACTAAAAAGCCAAAACTGATCGTTTATTGGGGTAAAAAATTGGCCCGAAATCTGTAAAACAAAATGCACCACAATAATTCTGCTAAATTGCTGACCAACTTTTGTTTCATTGTTTTTCACCTGAAATGGGTCATTTTTAGGTGAAAAACGATGATTAAAAGTTGCTCAGTAATTTAGCCCAATTATTGTGATGAATTTTTTATTGCTAATTTCGAACCAAAAATTTCACCCCAAAATCAGCAGATCACTTTTGGCTTTGTATTTAATCAAAAATTGCGTCAAAACTATCAAGTCAATCTCCTAAAAATTGCACGACGCTTAAAAAATGTATTTCTTGTGGCAAAACGTTATTTTTTGGCTTTCACATCTTTTTACAGAGTTAGGAAATATATACCCTTCCTAAATTTTGTTGGGGCTACATAGGTGGCTCATTGTGATATAGTTTTTTCAGTAAATTAACTCATGGTTTTGGTGTAATTTTGGCTTGATTTGAAAATGCCAAAAATCTTAGCAATACTTGTCCTAATTTTTTTCTCTTTAGATTCAATCGAATTTGAGAAAAAAAGCTTATTAATTTTTGGCTTTTTTATTTTTTCACAATACATTAAAACAACACTGTTTGAGATAGTTTTTTCTTATCATTGAAAGTAAGTTTTGACCAAAAATCATTAATTTTTAAAAACCTAAGTTCAATTCTTGAAGGTAATCTGCTTACACGCAAACATTTGCAATTTTGGTGACTGTCAATTGTAAAAAAAAACGTTGCGGGTTGTTCGAACAAAAACAAGGGACACAACCTAATACATTTTAAAATAAATACCTTTTTTTTCTGCATTAGGTTTCCAGATGATTTTTAAACCATCATTTTAACCCGCTCAAAATGGACTCTTAAGCTCCTCTGATGATCACTTTCTTACTACTATAGTTACAGATCATTTATTGCTCGACGAACGGTAATAAGCTGCTCGTAAAGACACTTATTTTAATTTTGTTGTTTCAAATTTTGAAAGTTTGAGCTCATGGGTTCCTGTTTTTGCTGTAAGAAAAATGATGATGGAATTTTGATGGAAAAACTATGAAAACGAAAACAAATTTTTGTTGAGCTCTTACAATATGCTCTACAGGGTTAATAAAGGCTTTTTTACATGCTCTCATATTTCACTGATACTTTTTTTACTGAATTCATTTTCATTTTTTTGCAGCAGGTAGCAAAACGCATTTAATTACCCAAATCCTATAATCATTTAATTGGATTCTTTTTGTTGACGTATTTTTTGAGTGTTGGTTCTATTTTGTGCTGAAAACACTCATAAAATGCGGACTTAAAATAACTGGATATAACGACTGAACTAAAAATTTTATATTAATCTCTCCTAAGTTGGAGTAACTTTAAACAAAAACTGAGACAGAAAAAATGCTTGAAATTTTGCCAGAGTTTTTTACGCTTAATTTTTTTGCAAACTTCGGTCCTGACATTATACCTATTAAACGAGCCAACTTGTTCAATTTTATAATTAGCAGTACCCGCATTGAAGTTCCATGAATAAAATCGATTATAATTGAGTTTCCTTGTCAGTGTCCACAAAAGTGAAAACAAATCGATTATAATCAAGTAAGAATGGATTATAATATTACTATTTTACGAGGCAAAAAAAATCCTTTTTTCATCCATTATAATCCAGGAGGGGGGGGTTCAGGTGGGGGTGGATTCAGGTGGGGGGCATGTGGGTTCAGGTGGGTGGTATGTGGGTTCAGGTTCGGGGGGGGGGGGGGGGTATGTGGGTTCAGGTAGGGGGGTATGTGGGTTCAGGTGTGTGTGTGTGGGGGGTGTTCAGGCGGGGGTTGTTCAGGTGGGATTTTCAGTGGGGGGAGGGGAGCAAAGGGGCAAATGTTAGGGGGATTGAAGGGGAGCAAAGGGGCAAACCTTGGGGGGGGGAGAGCTCAACGGAATCTTTTTTCAATTTGATTTTAGGCTTTGAAATGCATTAGGCCAAGCAGTACACTCGCTTTGCAAAGTTTCCGCATCACTCACTTAATAAATGCTGAAATTCTTGCAAAATTTTGCACGACGCGCGAAACAAAAATAAAGTGGAAAAAAATCCATCATAATGTGATTTCCTACTTATTATAAAATTCATTATAATGGATTCAAAATGAATTATAATTCATTTTTTTTGGCGAGAAAAATTGGATTTGAATCCAGTTTTAGTCCGATTTTGTTGTCTGAACGTATTATGGGCATCGATTATATTTACGACATTATAGACCACGGAAATCTATTATAATCGATTTGTTTTCACTTTTCTTAAATGTAGGCAACTGAAGGTCAGTTGATGTTATTTAAAGATAATTTTAAAAATAATTTTTGAGATTGTTATTGAAGTGTGGTTAAAAATGGGACTAATAAGTTTGAACTTTAATTTAAACAGTTGCCCTAAAAGAAATCGATATACTTATTTAGTTCAAATTAAAAGAGTTTTAGAATTGCATGGTTGTCAAAAAAATCAAGTAATGTCTTTATAGTGATCTGGAATTGCTCAGAATTTTTTCTTTCGAGTTTTTGCTTTAAGAATACTGACAACAATGTGTGATCGCTGAAATGACAATGGTGTAAAAACATTTATTTTCATTATACTATTAAGCCTTTTATTTTTTGGAAGAAAACAAAATCAGAAAAACCGAAAAAAGAACGACAACATTGTATTGAGAGCGCAGACTATGAGTATGTTTAACCTTTTTTTACCTTAACATTTTTCTGAAGGCCTAGAAACAGAAAAACCTGAAAAGATTTTTTAATTCGAAAATGAGCTATATCTTCTCTTAACGGTAAAAGTAAATTTTGACCAGAAAGGAAAAATGCTGGAAAATAAAAAATCAGTTTTATAGAAAGACCAGTTTATACACAAAAATTTGCGAAATGTGTGATCGCTGAAATGACAATGGTGTAAAAAAAAACTTTTTATTATCCTCATTTCATTATTCTATGAAGCCATTTTTATTTTTTTATGAAAATTTTTCATTATTTCAAACAAATTTTTAAAATTACAAGAGATAATCATTTGTTTAAAAAAAAGAATCTTTATGAGCAGATACGGATCTAAAATTTTCTCGAGGGGGTCTCATTTCAAAAAAAAGGTTTAAAGCAAAATTTTTTATGAGCTACTCCAGATCACTCTAAAGACCCTATCATGACCAAACTTTCTGTAGCGCAGGCTAATCTTTGAAAAAACAGACCAAAAAAGACCTTTCTACGCACTGTTTGGAAATCGTTGACCTAATAGTAAATTTATTGATGCGCGCTCTCTCTTATAACAGAATAAAATGGCGCCAAAGGTGCCTTAGAGAAAGTTTGAGGTGGGTCAGCCAAAAATGGACTTTTTAAAATAGTATCAAAAAAAGTCGAATTATTGAGATTTGATTTAATATGCAATTGGATTGCTAATTAGTAAAAATTTTAATCTTTGTGAGTTGATTTAGAGCTGATTCGCCGCATCCAGCTTCAAGCGTTAATAATCGATTGAAATAAGATTTTAGTAGCAGTCTTTCAAAAATTGAGAAAACATTTATTTTAATCAATTATTAATCGATTATAATCTCTATTTTTAAATCAAAAATAATCAATTATAATACAAAATAATCGATAATAATCGATTATTTTAATCCAATTTTCTAACTTGTTTGTTTTGCAAAAAAAATCAATTAAAATCGATTATAATTGTTTATATTCCTTTTTGTTTGCCCATTTTGTCTTCGACCTTCCACTTGAATTGCTTATGTCTTATGCTTTTGCAGACGTTGGTTTATGATAAAAAAGGGAAATTTGTTTTTACCAGTTTTCAAATCATTTAAAATTTATATCGTTTTTTTTTTCTTTTTTTCTCCTGAATATACTTGTTTCATGATGCACATATTAAGTTTTTTTGACCACCAAAACATCAGCACACTGCTTAAGTTTCACGATTTTTATAGAAGAGTTATATTTCAGCTACCGCAGGATTCTTTCAACTAATATGAAGGAATCTCTATGAAACTTTTGTGGTAAATTTTTGTGTTCAGATGAAGCAAAGAGTGACAAGACATCTCACTTTTAGAGGTTTTGACAAAAAAAATTATAATCTTTTATAATAGATTTTAATTAATTATATGAGATTATAAGAAATTATAAAAGATTAGAATAGTTTATAACAGATTATAAGAGATTTATTATAATGTCAGGAAAAAGTTTATCATTATAATGGATTATAAAAGGTCATAAATTGTTTAAACATCTAATTTTGGCGCTTATAATTATTTATAACTTTGATAAAAGTACAATTAAAATTGCAATATAATCGATTATTTTCTCTTTTTACTGGGTGCGGGTAACGATCAGATAATTAAAGAACGTTAAGAAAAGAGACCTGCTTTGTTTGCGATTGAAGAAGGACAAATTTATTATCAAATTTTTGGGAAAAGCAATACAAATAGTTATCAAAATTTCAGAAAGCCTAGCTGAAGTAATCAGCGAGCTTTTCTTTTTCTGAGTTGCTCTCCAGTTGGTTTGT